AGTAGCCTAGTGGTTGTCCACAGTAGCCTAGTAGTTGTCCACAGTAGCTAGTTGTTGTCTACAGTAGATTTGTGGTTGTCTACAGTAGTCTTGTTGTTGTCTACAGTAGATTTGTGGTTGTCCACAGTAGCCTAGTAGCTGTCTACAGTAGCTAGTTGTTGTCTACAGTAGCCTAGTGGTTGTCTACAGTAGTCTTGTTGTTGTCCACAGTAGCCTAGTGGTTGTCCACAGTAGCCTAGTAGTTGTCTACAGTAGCCTAGTAGTTGTCTACAGTAGCCTAGTGGTTGCCCACAGTAGCCTAGTTGTTGTCTACAGTAGATTTGTGGTTGTCCACAGTAGCCTAGTAGTTGTCCACAGTAGCCTAGTGGTTGCCCACAGTAGCCTAGTTGTTGTCTACAGTAGATTTGTGGTTGTCTACATTAGATTTGTGGTTGCCCACAGTAGCCTAGTAGTTGTCTACAGTAGATTTGTGGTTGTCTACAGTAGCCTAGTAGTTGTCCTCAGTAGCCTAGTGGTTGTCTACAGTAGATTTGTGGTTGTTCACAGTAGCCTAGTGGTTGTCTACAGTAGATTTGTGGTTGTCTACAGTAGCCTAGTGGTTTTCTACAGTAGCTTAGTAGTTGTCTACAGTGGATTTGTGGTTGTCTACAGTAGTTCAGTGGTTGTCTACAGTACTCTTGTGGATGTGTGCAGTAGATTTGTGGTTGTCTTGACAACTGTTCAGTATGCAGATTAGATTTTGTGTTTCCATGTGGTCATTTAACAATTCTACTACCATAAAACCTGTACTAGTAGCTGCATCCTTAATAAAAGTCGCACCCATTCTTTTGTAATAATTGAGAACAAAAAATTTCATTCCTCATTCCTCATATGTGTATATGCTCTAATAGAAACCGAATCTTCTCTGTTGCACTGTACCATTTTAATAGAAGCCACGGTATCTAATACAATTTTTACAGTACTACAATGATAGAAAACTACACAAGATCATGTCAATAACAATAGTATTCATTCAAATATCAATCTGACACTCTGCTTTGAATTGCTTTAATTTCAGGTATTGGAAAGAATACACTGAATATAAAAGACAATATTTGGAATTCCATGATGAACAGAGAAATGTTGACAATCAATTAAAATATGCACATGCTCAACTGACAAACTAAAGAAAACTAATGTATTCAATGCGACTTTCCATATATGGTAAGACAGTTTGTTTACAAATGTATACTACTGCACCTATTTGCACAGAAAGCTATGATTCTATTTCACACTGAGTGTGACTGACTGAGTGATTTAGATATATCAGTATATAAACAAAAAAAATTAATGTAATGTTGATTCATTTTGATGTCTTGGTTAATGTGCATGTGTGTGCATTCAGTGTTAATTTGTAGGCATACCTAACCTGATTGGTATAAAGACCAGATATAATGGGATTTATATGCATATTAATTTGTTTTTGATTCTCACGTCTGACGCACACAACGTA